ATGGACCTATGGCGTTCTTGGAGCACCTGTTGAAGTCTTCCCGCCTGCATTGAGGCAGGACCGGGCCAACGACAGTCAATGTTACTCGAGCTCTTACTCGAGCTCAAATGCATTGCAACAATATCAAGGAGAGCAGTACCGTGCCAAGCAGCAACAAGGCGGCAGCCGCAACCACAGCAACAACGACATATGCATACACCATCCATGGCTGCCAGCAACAACGCCGAGAAACCGGCATCGCCATCAACAACAGCATTTGCAGCAGCTGCAGCAATGACAGCGGCATTAACACTCAGTGTTGTATGATATTGGTGGTGGCTTTTCAGGCATATTCGCACAAGGGGCATCGGACTGCTGGGGCTGGCGAGGACCGTGCGCACCGTGGGTGGGCCAGGAGAACACCCGGACTTCAGAAATCTGGTCGAGGTGAACGTTTTGACTTTTTTTTTTGCGTGAATCGTTTGCTGGCGAGCTGTCGATACGTGCGCTTGTTATTGTCGTTGTTGTTGTTGTTGTTGTCGTCGTTGTTGTTGCCACTGTTGTTGCTGCTGCTGCTGCTGCTGCTGCTGCTGCTCCTGCCGCTGCTGTCGCCGTGGTTGCTGTTGTACCAGTTGTTTCGGTTGTTGCCGGTGTTATTGCTGTTGCTGTTACTGTTGCTCCTGCGGCTGCGGCTGCCGCTACTGTTGCTGGTTCCAGAGAATCGGGGCGGCCACTCCTGTGAATGATTCACACCGCAGTTCGCCTGCTAGTCGTCGAGTAGGCCTCAGTGCTCGTGCGAGCCTCGCAACAGGCTTGCCCAAGGTTGGTCCCGTGGTGGTTGTTGCTTTTGGCGGTTATTGGTGGCGTCGGTCAACGAGTCACTGCTGCCTTAGTGCCAGGATAATAGGGCGGGTGCCCCCAATCTGTTTTTCATAAGAGGGTATTGTCGATCGTGCGGATAGAGGCTTTCCCTGGTATGCAATTCTTCTTCCGTATTGGTGTCGACTAACTGCTGCTGTTGGTGTCGCTGTCCACGAATATGGCACATGCCGACGCCAATCAATAGCTGCCCAAAAACCTTGCGTTTTCCCTTGCCCCCTGTTCGGCCCTTATCACGCAACACTTCGCCCCCCCCCCCCCCCCCCCCCCCCCCCC